GCCAGTCATAAGAACGAATTTTAGTACCGCTCGTTTGATAGAATAACGTATAAATCTAATAAAGAATANACGTATACATCTAATAAAGAATAACGTGATTTTGCTCCGTATTATCGGTGAATCCCCTCAACAGATAGGAAAACCCAATGTGGCACAACTGTTCACAAGTTCCACCCAAAAAGGCAGGAGATGGTTCCTTGGAGCTATCAACGTCTTCACACAAACGAGACTTAATCCACTGTCAGTAGTTCACCCTAGGAGTGTGGAGATATGGCTAAATGAAGTGTAGTGTAAGTGCTGTATAACCGAGTGCATTTAAGACACTATGACAGCAATCCATCTCGCAGGAGACACCAGTAATCAAGCAAAACTTATAGAGACTTCACAAGACATGGAGAAGCCAAAATACCAACGTCAACAAAGTAGACNCAATCTCAGATGAATAATTTTCCGGTCTGAAATGTGAATCAAATCAGGCGATTTCAGTGCTGCTAAAGCGCTTCCCACTGCTCTCCGTAAAATATGCAAACTTCCATACTAACCGGAGGAAATTCGGCATCGACATTCAGTGCATTGCACTGGGATTGCTGCCATGAAGACATCTGGGAGATAACTTTATTTCCCAGCGTGTTTACTGACTGTCTTGGCGTTGAACGTGCCAGTCATAAGAACGAATTTTAGTACCGCTCGTTTGATAGAATAACGTATAAATCTAATAAAGAATAACGTGATTTTGCTCCGTATTATCGGTGAATCCCCTCAACAGATAGGAAAACCCAATGTGGCACAACTGTTCACAAGTTCCACCCAAAAAGGCAGGAGATGGTTCCCTGGAGCTATCAACGTCTTCACACAAACGAGAATTAATCCACTGTCAGTAGTTCACCCTAGGAGTGTAGAGATATGGCTAAATGAAGTGTAGTGTAAGTGCTGTATAACCGAGTGCATTTAAGACACTATGACAGCAATCCATCTCGCAGGAGACACCAGTAATCAAGCAAAACTTATAGAGACTTCACAAGACATGGAGAAGCCAAAATACCAACGTCAACAAAGTAGACACGGTCAGCGCGGAATTATAACTGCTGATGAAAACAGCTTGATGAATCATAGGATAAGTTGAACTACTCATTAGTAGCCTGTTTCTGAACACATTTCGCTGCTGGTAAAAATCGAACAGAAGAATGAAAAAGACAAGTCTCTCTCAACATGAATTTTGCATCTCACGTCATCTCATGTATTTCCCGTAGGCCCTTTTTTCCAGATTCACGCAGTGCAAACTCGCAATCANAAATGGATTACAAAAGATCGTTTTTTGTTTGATCGAAATGTTTCTTGCGCTGGGAGACATTTTATCTTTTGGTTAAGTTATTACGATGCCTTTTTGCTTTGCCCTTTTATTATTCTGAGATTCTCTAGTTCAAATTAACAAACCAATTCCTTAGACTTGCACTTTTCCCGTTACTCCTGTACGTGCTTTTGCATGGGCACTTGTCTCTAACGTTTGCTTCTCAATTTTCATACACGAGTGGAGTTTAGAAGTGTCTTCTGGTTGCCATCCTCTGTTTGCTTATTTTTGGTAATGTGTACCCTTCCTTTTTGTTGCATGTAATGTTTACGACAACCAGTGCGCCGAATCTCGCATATTACATTTCCCTCATCGCTGTGTTCAGTGTTCATTTAGGTTGGAATCGAACGCACCCAGTTCGACTAAAGACACAAAGTGTTGCTTGACTTTGGAGGTCGACTTTATGTGAATAAATCTTCTATCAGTATTTCTGCGGTATCCATTAATTCTTTGTCTGNTGCTTTGAGCCTTTCTATCTTTCTGAGATTCTCTAGTTCAAATTAACCAACTAATTCTTTAGACTTGCACTTGTTCCGTTACTCCTGCACGTGCTTTTGCATGGGCACTTGTCCCTAACGTTTGCCTCTCGATTCTCACACACAAATAAAGTTTAGAGTTGTCTTCTGGTTGCCATCCTCTGTTTGCTTATTTGTTTGGTAATGTGTACCCTTCCTGTTTGTTGCATATAAGGTCTAAGACAACCACTGTACCGAATCTCGCATATTACATTTTCCCTTATCGCTGTGTTCAGCGTTCATTTGGGTTAGTATCGAATGCAGCCAGTTAGACTGAAGACACAAACTTTCGCTTGACTTTAGAGGTGGACTTTATGTGAATAAATTTTTTATCAGCATTTCTGCAGTATCCATTAATTTTTTTGTCTGGAAACTCTCATGATGTACTCCGAAAATTCATTTGTGGACAGCGATTAAATCGGCGATTTAAATTGTTTCTGTAAAACACGGTTGGTTCACATAATAAGGATATAATCTATTACAATATTCTGACAAATTGATTGAAGTGAGCTAACAGAAAATGAAATATCAAATTAAACAAACAATATTTGTGTATCTATTAAAATGCACCGACAATTTATTCATCATGGTGTTGACGCCTCCTCCACTAATCTTACCTATACAGGATGACTTGCCTTCACATCGAGCTGTTTGGACAAAGACAAATGAAGCCAAAACTTATCCAAAAAAGTTTTGTCTTAGTTGAATTTTCGAAATATTTGGTTTGCTTGAACTCTGTATTCTAACTGGAAGACATCACATATGTTTTTGTTCTATTTGTAAAGCTCACACAATCAACGCGCTCTAGCAGTAGTAATGTAATTTCCTGTAACAACAATTGCATCAAATTACGATGAGGGTACGTATGGGTTTGGAATCTATCGTGAGTAATTTTTATTGCTCCGAGTACCTGGAGAGTACGTTGTTAATAATAATATCCAGAGCTTTTCAGTGCAACTTATGGTGCTTAACGTAAGGGAGCAAGTAAAACAACACTCAAATAATCCCCTCCAGCAAGCGCAAAAAAAGCAGCGTATGTTGGAGTACGCCGTGATCTGTGATTAACCTAGGCAAACAGCTCAAACGTATTCAATAAAGTCTACTTATATCTGACTAGGTAAACTAGTTTTTGTTCAGGAAACTAAGACGAACAACGATCACACCTATCACGAAGATTCCTTATTTGGTAGGCATACGTAATTTGTACCAAGTACAATAATTACGCTGCTTGTATCCAGCTGAGATCGAAGAAAACGTTTAGGATTTCCTATTTCTCAGAATGCATACACCAGTACAAATGAATCCAAAGTAAACTGATGCATACTGATGCTACAGCTGCAAACTTTAACCTTCTAAGAGCTGCTTCATATGTGTGTTGTTGCAACATTTATTTATGAATACACCTAGGAAGCAATATTTCAGAAAATTTTAACTGATGCGTTTCCAAACAACTCATTTTTCTGCTCACAGAACAAAAGATGACAGGCCACAAACTCAATCTCAGATGAATAATTTTCCGGTCTGGAATGTGAATTAAATCAGGCGATTTCAGTTCCCCATGTTTCTTGTAAGAATGCTGCTAAAGCGCTTCCCACTACTGTCCGTAAAATATGCAAACTTCCATACTAACCGGAGGAAATTCGGCATCGACATTCAGTGTATTGCTCTGGGATTGCTGTCATGAAGATATCTGCAGGGTAATTTTATTTCCTGGCGTGTTTACTGACTGTTTTGCCGTTGAACCTACCAGCCATAAGAAAGAGCTATAGTTCCGCTCATTCTATAGAATACCGTCTAAATCTAACAGAGTAAAACGTGATTTTGCTCCGTATATTCGGTGAATCCCCTCAACATACAAGAAGATCCATTGTGGCACAACTGTTTACAAGTTCCATCCAAAAACACGAGAGCTGGTTCCTTGGAGTTATCAACGTTTTCACATAAACGAGAATTAATCCACTGTCAGTAGTTCACCCTAGGATTGTAGAGATATGGCTAAATGAAGTGTAGTGTAAGTGCTGTATGACCGAGTGCACTTAAGACAATATGACAGCAAGCCATCTCGCAGGAGACACCAGTAATCCAGCAAAACGTAGAGAGACTTTACAGGACATGGATAAGCCAAAAGACCAACGTCTACAAAGTAGACACGGTCAGGGCGGAATTATAACAGTTGATGAAAACAGCTTGATGAATCATAGGATAAGTTGAACTACTCGCTAGTAGCCTGTTTCTGAACACATTTTGATGCTGGTAAAAATTGAGCCAATATCTCGCAGAAGAGTTAATCAATGAAAAATACAAGTTCCTCTCAAAATCAAATTTGAATCTCACGTCAGCCCATGTATTTCTTCAAAGCAATTTTTTCCAGATTCACGCAGTGCAAACTCGCGGTAATCGTTTACAAGAGATGCGCTAGCCCATTTGACTTAGCTCTTTGGAAAATGCACAAGTCACTTATGTTATCAAAGGTGACTACATTGTCCCTATGGGATTCCAGCTAACAATATGCGTATAGATTAGCTTTCGTCTGCTTTGTGTTCCGGTGCGTACTTGTTGTACTTGGCATATGGGAAACAAGGCACTGGTTCACACAGAAGACAGGTCACACAAATTCATCACTAGATCTTGTGAACAGACACCTTACGGGCAAATTTCTAAGAAAGACAACCTTAAACAAAGCGAATTGAGAATTGAAGTAATCTAACCACAACAATCCTTTCTTTACACATAGAATATTAGATATGGGTATGTTTGAATCAGTCAGTCATAGGGACTTATTTGTCACTTGATGAAAACGCAGGTGATCATTAACTTCAAACACCCCGACAGAATTTACAGCAGTCATAAGTTGATATTTTGCTACACAACTAGGACACATCGCCCAGCACGCTCCATGCACAGAGATGTATTTGGTCCTTATCCAGATGAGATAAACCTTGAGCGTAGATAGGATATCTTTCATGCTGAACATATTTATCGCCAGAAAATCGTGCTAAAAACAGGTAATCAAAAGAAACGCGCCCTAAAATCAATAACTATCAGTGATTCCCCACACGTGCTAGTAAAAAAATGAGATATGTTACCTGGAAAGTGTTGGTAAAATGCACCATAACTGAGATTATTTATATATTTACGCCAGTTTATTTGATTAGAATCGACATAGACAGCATCTTGTGGATTGAAACTGTGTAGAAAATAAAAAAAACTTAAATTCCTCCAGTATACGAGAATTTTTAGAAACCCGATGCTAGTGCTCAAGAACTCAATTCCTACTTCAGTTTGTCAGGTTTAAACATTTTGCTGAACAAGCAACCCAAAAGGTTTTCGATTCAGAAGGACTTGACAAACAGTCGGTAGACTTTATAAACTGGGAACCGTTTCGCTTTCGACATAATTCTCCCAAACCTTTAAACCATAAGATTTAGGCAACCATCCTGCCGACAGGACTGTTTACAGGACTGTTTTACTATATTGAAAAGTGACCTGATGTGCTTGTCGGAAGAGGTGCTTCATATTTGCTGTCCAACCATTTCCAGCCGTGGCCAACTGGGTTATGTACTTACTTGACATAACAAACGGCATCCGAAGATTGTTTATAAATTTCACTAACGAAGCCGCTCTATTTGATTCCCATTTTGTTCGGTCACACATTTGGATAACAAAATTTTAACTCCCACGCACGCTGAGAATACAAGGGTGTAGCTGATGACATTTAAATTACATTTCCCTAACATTCCTTAAAATTATTCCTTGATATCTGTTTCGATTATGTCCAGTAGGCCTTAGCTATTGTTCCGAAACAACTATATCGAGCACATTTTGATGACAATTCGAGCATGCCTACGTGTTCAAACATCAGCTCTGCCGCTTTTCCAAGAGACTGACTACTTGAATTTCGATAACACGTTTGGTTCGACCCAGAACGTCCCGAAACTGCTGTTGGATTGTGCGTAGTCTCCCGCTGCCTAATCAACCTGAGGGAATTCACATTTTTAAAACCATCGTTCATTCAACTAATTGACCTTTTATCCATTATCTATCCTTGAATTTGCTAGATGAAGACTTTTAGGATGTGAAAAAGATTTTGACTTGATAGAAATCGGTGAACAAACTAGGTAACTCATTGTCGGTTATCTTGGTTTTATAATGATGTCCAGAAACAAAATGCTCACCATCGGTTTGCAATAAAAACTGCCACGTTGGTGCGCTTGCATTGCGTTACTTGAGTTGCCAATGCACGGGTTTCACACAGAATCCGAATATGTCTCAAACATGCCCTAACGCGTGGTTCAGCACAGCTTACACCATTGGGCATTGAGCATTATTGGCAATCTTTCATAAGCCTCATTATCTAACGTCTGACAAATGCTATGTGAAATTATCATAATCTCACCAAGTACATGTGTAACGCGTTTGGAACAATCAAGTTAATCTGGACTGTCTAACTGTCCCTAATACGTCAACCCTATCCAGTAAATACAACCTCCTCTTGCGTAGATTCACCTATCGTCGGATAAGAAATCTTACCGGGGCATGGTAAAATTTCGCAACTCACGTTATGGTAGACTCACATGAGATAAACTTTATAAACACATAAGGATTCATTGAAGTCCGTGCAGTTTATGAATGAGAACACCGGACTCAACGTCTTCAGTGCGACAGATAATTGACCCACCAGATTGCATTCCAAGATGTCCTCGAATTCCGCCTCGATCTGACCCTGCCCATGAAAACCAGTTTTATCTGTCCGGTGACTTAGACTAGCAGCCCCTTATGCACCATGACTTGCGAAACAAGAAACCTTCATGCGAGGGGACAAAGCCAAGTCTATGTTATGACCCCTGAAATCGCAATGCATGATCATATATTTGTGACTGCCTTCCTGTTAAGGAAGTGTGCACACACGCTGTATGCGAGAAGCCATTCTAGGCCGAAAATAGCACAAAAAGATCGCGCCAATATAAAACCGCTGGACTATTCATTTTTTTGCCAAAGACAGTACCAAAGGATATCAGCATTCAAAATTTTTAGGGCACACGAATAACCAAATCGTTATTAGAGGCTGCAGCTCTATACACAAGTGACAAGTGGAAATAGTTACCCTTTAGTCTTAGAGCACCGCTTTACAAAACAGGTCGTTGGCTTGCCACTGGTTGGATTATGTTCACAAAGAATCACTTGTGGTAAACTGTTGCGCAATTCCCGGATTTACACTGCACCAACGTTTTCTTTCAATTGGTATTCTGAGTTGGTATTCTGTTGAACATGGGTTTATTTCCCGCTAACTCATACCGTCCGAACTTTTCTCTGTGGTGGATGAGTTTATTTGGGTTCATCCATTCGTTGACCAGCACTGACCAAGGTTGATGTTTTTCAAGACTATGGTTGCAATCACATCCTATTTTCTGAATTGTAGACTATGTTGACCGTTTTATCTCAGAAAAGAGACGCAGTTTTTTATGACTTTTCTAGGACAGAAGGACATGCAAGTAATTTACTGTTCAGCGCTTTTTCAGCGAAAGCAATATGTACAGTTGGTTGTGGAATACAAGTTGATAAACAAGGTGACAAGCTTCGGGAAATCAATCGGTCAACTTTTTTTCAACTTTTGAGAACTCTCTACCTCCCTGGCTCTTTGACAAATTCGCAGAATATGCCATCAGCAGCTTAGATGATATGACACTTTCCTCACTGCCGATTCAAAAACAGCGCAACAATATGTCCACGCCGGATGCTTCACAAACCGGCATCTTAAATTGAATCAATCCTGATACACGTGGAGAACATCCCAGGTACTTTGACCTATTTGATTCAACCGTCCTCAATGGCAGTGTGAGTAAATCGGAAGCCATATTTCGTGCTTGATTATTTGAACGTTTCTCAAACAGAATAGCTATTTCTATTAATCGCCAAATGGTTTCTTTTACCTGACAGCTTTGTTGAAAATTTTCTGATACTTCCTTTTTGCCCCCTACAGTATATACAATATTTTGGGCCCTTGTGGGGTTAAAGCTAATGTGAAATAAACCTGGATTAAACGGCTACTATTTTTGGCCAGCGTGCAGAAATTCTTCATGAAAACGACTTGTTGAATAAAAAACATCACGTTTACACTGAACATTTTGTGATCCTCTATGATGCATCTCACTTGGTAAGCTATTTAACCAACCTTCTGGACACCATTACACATCACTGGCAATTTGTTTTGTGCACGTAAATCTATCCTAATTCAGTTGGACGTTTGCTCCTGCTTTCAGCTGATAAATACTGTATCTATCATGCGTGTGACGCAGAAAGGTCCCCTGCTTCTAATAAGCCATATGCATGCGATTTTTCCCTACGTATTCCTCGACGAAAAAGATGATTTTTTTTACCTTAGGATTATTTTGTTTTGTAAAGGAGTTTTCAGTGATCACACAAAGTTGTCGTTGTCGTGCATGTCATTATGAACTCTCTGCATCACTGCAGATTTTCGGATGATATCTTGCTCTCGCTAAATATTGTTAAGTGCTCGGTCACCAACTAAGTCTAACAGAATTCAACGCCGGTTTACAGCGTAACCTATTTTTCACTGTTCCTCTAATTCCAGGTTTTTTCCCAGCATAATCGGTTGGGCGAAATCTAGGGTTCCTTATTATTTTTCGTCTCTTAATTTTGGTACAATTTTTCACTCATGTGTTCAAAACTCTATATTTATAAGGTAGACGCCACTGGTGTCCGAAGGCTGAAATATTAAATTTCTATACTGTGTTTCTCAAAAATAGAGAATTATCTATCATTCTGAGGATTTTTGTAAATCAATGGTTTTACTTGAATACTTTTTCCCTAGTTATTATGGTTTATTTTGAGATTGAATTGATGTTAATCCCTGTGATGACATCGTGCTCATTTGTTTGGTGTTATATAGATATTTAGTTTTTTGAGGAGATTTCGTAAAGCCAATCTGTGCTGAAAAGCCAAGAAGCACTGTACAGCTGTTTCATCCTTATTGGGGATCATCAGCAGTGCACAACTCACGAAACCTTGGAGCATGTCGAACCCACGACCTCTGTCGAACCCGCGACCTCTTGGCTAATAGTTTGGACAGTTAACCGTTCGGCCACGAGTGGCTGTTTGATTAATTCACACACCACTCACCTTTCAATCACGGGATCCACATCATGCGGTTTGACTAGTTCCTCGAGCAACGACTCCTCAGATGGAAGTTTCACTCATCGTGTGAAGATATTCATTTAGTTATTAGATATTTATTTTGTCGTAAATACATTCCTCGAACCTTTTTTACGTCGTATATATGCGTGGTACAAGTGCAATTGTTTGTAAAATGAAGATACCATTGATCGTGCTTTGACACGCTGCGTAAATAAGCATTGTGACACACTCCATTTGTGCAATATCGTTCGGTTTATACAATATGAACCGTTGCGACGTTAAGGAGTTACCTGCCTTCTAGTTTGTCACTGGTTTACAGAACCACCATTTTCAATCTGGAGTGTAGTACTGTGGCGCGTAATGCTGGCGTGTCAATCGAGCAAATCCTTTCCCTTTGTGCTAATGCTATTTATCATATATCGCGTTCATAATTTTATTGTTATATTCTTCTGGAAAATGGCTTCAGGTACCGACCTTCGACAATTTCATCCAATAAGCGTATCTTCCACTAGTTATTTCCAAATTCATATTAAGCGTTGTACCAAACACTTGCTGCCCACCAATTCTTCAGCCAAATGGGGATGTGTCAGCCCACCTAATGAAATGTGTCCATTTATGTACATTAACTGAAGTGGTTTTGCTCCTGTTTGAGTGGGGTCATGTGCAGCAACATTCTATCCCAGCAATATCCGTATCCAGTATAACTTAGTAGCAATATCTCGAAACCTGACTCATCATAAAAGACTAATGACTAGATTTGTGGGTAGTGAAATTGAGTATCTTTGCCGCTTACCGCAGTATCGCCCAGATTTTGTGGTAAAATTTTGCACACAAGCTTGTCCGATGGTCACGAAATAGACGACAGACGATTGCGCAATAAAGTTGTTTGCCCACATAAAGCAGGCTTAGGAAAACAGATCGGTTGACGAGGGTTACCACGAAACGAATCTTGGAAATTGAAGCACAGCGACAGCAGGTCGTTTCTGGCTAACGGCCAAAGAAAATTTTGTGAAATAAGATTAAATGTAGTGT